TCTAAAAATAATAATTTATTATCACAAAGTCATTATTTTTAGATAATATATTGAATATTTTGAAATATTATTTCAATATTTTTTACTTAGAATTTTAGAATAATGAAAAAAATTCTCAATATTTGGACTTTCAATCTAAAAATAATAATTTATTATCACAAAGTCATTATTTTGAGATAATAATTCAAAATAATTAGAAACTTTCTCAGTTTTTTAAATTATTATCTCAATATTTTTACTTATAGTATCTCAAAATAATGAAAAAGTTTCTCAATATTTAGACTTTGAATCTAAAAATAATAATTTATTATCACAAACTCATTATTTTTAGATAATAGTTCAAAATATTGAGAAAGTTTCTCAAGATTTTGACTTAGTATCTCAAAATAATAACCTTTTCTCTAAAAATAATGACTTAGTATCACAAAGTCATTGCTTTGAGATGCCCCGTTAAACTATAAATAATGAGAAACTTTCTCAATATTTGGACTTATTATCAAAAAATAATGATTTTTTTTATCTAAGAATAATGACTAATTATCACAAAGTCATTATTTTGAGATACTAAATCAAAATATTGAGAAAGTTTCTCAGTATTTTGATTTATTTATCAACTATCTTCTCGCTTCAGCTTTAATGAAGCCGTATTATCTGTGCTTTCTGTCAGCTCACTTCTCAAGAAAATAGATGACTTATCTCTTGTTACTCATTGACAAACGTAATTCCACTTATTCCTCTGCAGGAGTGGTTATGGTTCTGTGGTAAAACTGTGCTGGGATCGGCGTTTAATAACATCTGAGTAACGTTTTGCCACCAGGTAAGTTAAATAGGTCAGTACAGTAGTTAGATAAACTCCCTCCTTACTGCCCCTCTGTAGACTGTCCACACAGAGGGAGATACTCACTTGATTCTACTGCTGAAGCCTACAATAAAAGCTCATCAAATACAGGTTGCAGCTACGGTTTTAACCCATATTTTGGCAAATTACTGCCATTAAAAGTGTGCCAAATGAACTATTAGCACTTCCTGTTAGTAGTGTATCCGTGGATGTGCAGAGAACTATCACTGAGTTACTTCAATAGGGAATAAAACCTTAAAAACGTGATGATTCTCAATGAAGTTCTGAAGCGTCTTTTCTCTGCGTGGAAATCCTATACTAAATTATAAATGCAGCTGAGTGTGACCTTTGACCTCTGGTTTAAAGTCCACACAATCACCAACAGGGGGATTCATTGTCATACAAGACAAAAGGTCCCATTAAGTAGCCGTTGGAGCTTTTGATTGTATCAGGTGATCTTCCTCGGCTTCTCCTCCATGGCAACAAAATCCACAACTGGGCCAAACTCCGTCTGCCGAGGAGGATCATGTGATACGACTGAAAGCTCTGGAACAAAAAATAAAACCTCGGTGGGTGAGACTGTTTGATCAACTTGTGTTAACGAGGTCAAAATTTTAGATTTGAGCCTCATTTCCACACACATGCAGACGTTGTTTATGTTCCTTTAAAAAGATGCTGCAGCCAGCAGGGGGCGCCCAAAACAAACAAATCATCAGCGTGAAGTCATTTATTCATTTATTTTAAGTATTTAAATACAATCTTTGATGTTTTTCTGTCTTAATATGTGCAATTTGAAGTAAATAGTGCAAATCTTATATCATTAAACCTGAAATAAGGGTTTAATCTAAAAAAATATATGTTTTCTTGCTCATTAAATCATGATTCTATGATCATGACTGAGGCAGTGGTGGAAGAACTATTCAACTGTAACTAAAGTAGCAGCAAATTAATGTAAAAAATACTCTATTACAAGTAAAAGTCCTGTATTTTACCTGTATTTTACCTGTATTGTCGCCTCATTATTATTGATTGAATGTCTGTGCAGAAATGTGTTCCACTTTATCTGAAAGCACCGTCACAGTTTTTTAAAAGAAAAATACAGAAGCTAGTGTGAATTATTAGGTACATTTAACTTATAAAATACATCATTAATGATTAAACCACTTGATTAATTGCAGCTATTGATTAAGGGGTACTTGAGTTCATTGGACAGAGCTTTGGAGGTACAAGAAAAGGTTGGGAACCCCTGATTTAAATAACTGTTTGAGGTTTGATGAGGTTAAATGCTTCAATATTTCACAAAAAAGCAAAAAAAAAATAAAGAGAAGTCCAAAAGATGAAAGCACATTTTCTTTTGTATCAGAACATTTTTTCATATTTAATCATCTCACGACCCCAAAAATACAAAAGATATTGTGAATTATTACTTTGAACTGAAGTGTGAGACAACATGGTTTAATTAAAATATCTGCTATAACTTTATATAACAAATCCAAAATAATCTCTCTCTAAATGTGTTAATAAAATAAAAAAAAATTACTAAATGAGAAGTAATAGATTACTATATACAGGATGACATTCCAGTCAAATAGCAAAACAAAAGCAAAACCTTGATTGTCCCACTGTTCCTGAACCCGTCCTAGTGAAACTGAGGTGTGTGAGTGGGATAACTTTCCACTGTGTCACTACAGTCGCCTCACCTGAATGACAACACAAACACACACGCACGCGCACACACACACGCACAC